AAAATCTAAGTGCTGGAAACTGTTTTAAGCCACCTTAAGACGGCCACAAGTGTTTTAGTTATGTAAATATTAGGTATTACTTTCTATAAATAAAGATCGCTTGATTCAAATAAAATACGCACGCTGATTGGTTGAAAATTGTGTTTCTAATTAACAATAAGATCATTAGTGCGAGATTTGTATCGCGTGATAGTTTACGAGGGCGCAGCCCGAGTCAACTATCACGAATAGAAATCTAGAGCGAATAATTTAATTGTTTTAGTATAAATCTACTACTGGTTCAAAGCTTTATCCAAATTCTCTTCACAGACACTTCGAAAACGCAAAGAAGCGGTCGTCATTTTGGTAACAGCCCCACACTGTTGAGCTATCTACAACAGAATAGATAGTGAGTAGCGTAGCCAATCAGAGAACGGCATTCAAGATAGTAGATTCATACTAAAACTCGATAGAAACAAGGTACGTGTTTTTGATTTCTTAATTGGTGTTAAGAGATTGAAATGCAAGGCACCTTCGTGGAAGAAGATTGCCTGGGATGCTATTAATGATTATATTAAATATAAATGGAAACATGCAGGCAGCCTCTCTCCACCGTCACGCGCTCGCAAAGCAAATCGTAATTATACTTTATAAATGGTTAATCTAAATGATGAATGAAAGCTATAATTACTTTTCGAGAAAAATGAACAATTAGGACACGGGTTTAGTACTTCTAGGGGTTTATTTCTTTAAGATATAAAATAAAAAAAGCAAGTTTAGCTCAGATCTCCAAAGCCATGACAACCGTCTGTTTAGATGTGCCTAAAGCAAAACTAGTCATAGTAATAGTCATAACAAATAATTATCTAGAATGAACTATGAATGCTATTTATAATTGTGAAATTAATGACTTTGGAAGGTCGTTCATGACGTTCATATCAAACGAAGATAATTAATTTTGCTTTTCGGAATGATCGATATTTTAGCCTTTAGATCGAGCGCAAAAAGTCCAGGTTCAAGTGGAGCCGCGCGTATGCAAAGATAAAACAGTTCGACCGGTGATTTTATTCTAAAATGGGTTTCTACACAACTTTCGAAAGACATTAACGCGTCAGAAATTTTTTCTCAACCACAGACCTGACCATAAAAGAGTTTAAATCACTAATACGAAGGGCCCGGAAAATTCTCCTGGTTTGTTCGAGTCTAATCGCTTTTATCTGTCTTACCATGGTGACCCCAACTGTTCCCTTGGCTACAAATGGTATCGGATAATTTCGATTTGCTTTGCGAGCGCGTGACGGTGGAGAGAGGCTGCCTGCATGTTTCCATTTATATTTAATATAATCATTAATAGCAACCCAGGCAATCTTCTTCCACGAAGGTGCCTTGCATTTCAATCTCTTAACACCAATTAAGAAATCAAAAACATGTACCGTGTTTCTATCGAGTTTTAGTATGAATCTACTATCTTGAATGCCGTTCTCTGATTGGCTACGCTACTCACTATCTATTCTGTTGTAGATAGCTCAACAGTGTGGGGCTGTTACCAAAATGACGACCGCTTCTTTGCGTTTTCGAAGTGTCTGTGAAGAGAATTTGGATAAAACTTTGAACCAGTAGTAGATTTATACTAAAACAATTAAATTATTCGCTCTAGATTTCTATTCGTGATAGTTGACTCGGGCTGCGCCCTCGTAAACTATCACGCGATACAAATCTCGCACT